CAATACTCTTGGTCTGGTTCCTTCGCTGTCCCAGAAGTCGACCGGGACGAAAGAGTCGAAACCCGGGTGCGTGTTCAGTTGCACGTTTCCGTCCTTCCAGCCCGTCCAGGGTTCCTGGACGAGGACCACATCTATCTGAGCCTCCCAGCAGAGCTGCAGGAAAGCCGTGTGCGCCGGGGAGATCTTTCCGACGTTGCCCTGCGCAACGCGTAGCATCCGTGGGGTCGCCGCTCTCGGCTTACGTCTCCGAGTCGAGTTCGAGGTGGGTGTAGGCATTCGCGACGTTGTAGTTTGGCTTCTGTGCTGCCCGTTGGCTCCTGCTTGGCATGGGTAGCACGGGACGGTCGATGGAGGTGTTGTCGGGGGAGTCTTCGCCTTCGCCTTCGTCCGCCTCGTCTTCATCCATGCTGCTGCTGTCAGTGCTTCCGTCACCGAGGCAAACGATCGAGCTTGCGGAGGGCGTTCTCGTGCGCGCGCGCTTGGCGCCGGGTTGCTGGTTCTGGCTGGTGGAGGTAGGGACGCCTGCCGCCTCCTGGCTACTGTCGGATCGAGTAGCCTTGTACAGAGTGTCCGATGCTTTCTGGCCGGCCTTCCGGATCCGAGCCCGCTCCTTTCGACCGGGAAGGGAGACGACGCCGTTTACGACCGAGGGCCTCGCTGGGCAGTCTGTGTGGCCGGCTTGGAAGGGGCCGCAGCAGTTGGGACACTGGGGCCTGGCCATGCAAGGTCCCGTTTCGTGTGAGTCGGAAGGTCTTCCGCAGTTGCTGCAAGTCGGTCGTCGTCCGCAGAACCGGTTGGCGTGGTAGCCCTGGCAGCCGGGGTCATGTCGGATGAGCGTCCTTCGTTTTTTGATGGGCAGAGATCTGCCGCTTTGGTTGAAGAGCCTGAAGGGCGTGACCTCTGATGTGAATGATATGAGCCAAGATATTTCGTTCGTGACTGGGTTGGGCCCAAGGCGGGACGGTCGAGCAAGGACAGGCTTCTGTCCTGTCTGTGCGAAGACCTCATCTTCAACGAGTGTGGCTGGGTCCAGGACGTCCCCGCCAATGCTGTGTAGTTTTGTTGGGCATCGCGGCACAACGTATGTGTGCCACTTGATAGGCGTCTCGACTTGGTGGGCGCCGAGGCATTCCGCCAGCTTTGCCTTACTTGTAAGTAGTCTTTCCTGTATTTGCTTGTTTCGCGGCTTCAGAGAGTAACCTGTGCTGATATGGTAGACGTGGGGAAGGTCCGCTAGCCCCAGGCCAACGGCCTTACAGACGATCTGTCGTACGGCGAACGGTGCGATCTTCCGAGCGGCCGCTAAGCTTTCTTCCGGGACGCGGGCAAAGATGCGGAGGTCCTCCTTCGGCTGCGCCTGCGGCTGATCCTCGGCGGGGAGTGTGGCCTTCGGGCGGGCAGAGCTCTGGCAGCTCTGGCCGCTCCGGGTCGCCGCAGTGGTGTTGCCCGCCATCGGTGCGACGACAGCCGCCCAACTCCGGGCCGCTATTGGGCTTGTCTCGTGATTGATCAGTCTCTTGAGGGTTTGAATGACATAGGCAGTGGCTTCTTTCGCGATCTGCTTTCTAGAACCGTCAAAGCTGGCGACAACGCTGTCGACGGACCGTGCAATGGTCAGAAAGACGTCTTTCCGTGCCTCGTACTGTCTAGCTTCTTCTGCAAGGGCTGTCAAGACGGACCCTGTGGCAGATCCGCTCGGAGCAGATGCGGTAGAGGCTGCGGGCCCCTCGGCCGAGGTAGGGGCGTCGGTGGTGGCATCAAGCTGGCTTCCCGTTAGGCTGGGCCGGGTCGGCTGTGCCTCGGCGTCGCGGCGTCGCTTAGCTCTTGAGGTGGGGTTCGGCTCCGGAGGTGTCCCGGAGCCTGGTTCGGGGTCGGCTTGGTCGGCCGACATCAGTCCGGTGCCCGACGGCGGCTGTGAGGCCATCGCGGATGCGGGCTCCGGCAAGGGGAGGTGAAGAGTTTTCGGCTGTTAGTAATTTGGTGGTAGGCTCACTCATTCACTAACAGCAGATGCCAAGAAAAATTAGGCGAGAGGGAAGTTGGAGGCAGGCCGGTCTCTGGCTTCTTGACAGGTAACTTCTCAACCAAGGAGCTTGCCTTGTTTCCTGTGGCCCAAATCAAGAGTCCGTACGGCAATCGGCCGTCTTCTTTCGTGAAGATTGCATCGGCTTCAACGCTTTGGATGTGCGAGCCTGTTTTGATCTTCACATGCTTCCCTTGCAACGAACTCGTAGCGTACTCGCTCAGGTTTGCGTCAAAGGTGGACAAGATCTTGGGCGCGACGTCGTGAATGGTGATGGTCACCTTGCCATCGAGGTGAGGAAATAGGAAACGCATGTCTTCGAACCAGAGATCCCATAGCTCGGCGGCAGCCTCAATCCCGATGGCGCCGCCTCCAACAATTCGAATATTGAGATAGTCCCGCTGATCTTGTTCGCTTGTTGTTGGAAGAGACGCCTTGTCGAGCATCTGTAGAATGCGCTGCTGTATCAAGCGGGCATCATTGGTCGTCTTCAGAAAAAGAGCGTGCTCTTTCGCGCCCGGCGTGCCGAAGTCTTGAGTATCGCATCCAGGCGCTATGCAAATCTTGTCGTACCTCACTTCGAAGGTAGTCGGGTCTTCGCCTGCAGTGGGTGCATCTGTCTTGCATCGGACTATCCGCTTTTCAAAGTCGATGTCTTCCGCAGAAGCCTTGTAGTAGTCCATTTCCGTCCTGTGCTTCCGCCTGACCGGCTCTTCCGCAAGACGGAAGTTAAATAGCCCGCATGCTGCGCTGGCTAGTAATGGGGTGTACTGGATTGTTCGAATTGGTGAAATGACCTTGACATCGTATTTCGTCAGGTCGACCTTTTGAGTGAGGGTGAATCCGCCCCAGCCGGTGCCAATGACAACGAGGACTGGTTTCGACATGTTGAACTGTGCTGCTCTATCCACCGGTCTGAACTGCAATACTGCTTCCCCGCGCAATGTGATCTTTGACCGACTTCTTATGGTTTTCCCAATCCTTGCTTCATCCGGAACAAAACTATCAATCTTACGTCACGGGCCCCAAATTGTCAGCGTGCGGCATGGCAGTTGCGGCTTCGTGGGCTCTTCGGACAGGGAACGTCATCGATTTTCGGAGACCAAGGAATGTAGCATCGCCTGGCTGGGGGGAAGCTCGGAGGTTAGACACCTTGGTTCGGCAAGATATTACTGGCTAGGGCTGGCTGCCGTAGCTTGGTCCGAACCTAGACAGATGCCGGGAGATCTCCGCGTTCCACCCGGGCCCACTTCTTCGGCTTGACTGGTCCGGTCGATGAAGGACGGGGTCTAGGGTTCGTCTAGAAGCCAACTTTCCCAGACATCTTGCTGCATGGGCAGCGTGAAGGTTTGTCGAGATTGCGGGGAAGCTTTCTTGTCAGCTTGGCGAACTTTCCGGTCGGGCGTCTGCAGTGGTGGTGATTTGGTGATTGAGAAAACTTGCTACAGTCAAGTCCAGGGCGTACAATGTCAGTGTTCGTAGACTTTCTCCTTGCGGACGGGGTTGTCGGATGTATGTATTCAGCTTTTGTAAGCCATGCAACGCAGCACTCTCCCACGCAGGAGCACAACAGGGTCACAGCAACGTATTAGTCTGCAGGAGAAAGCACAATTTGCCTATTGGTGGTGCTGGGCTTGAGGTGCGTGATACAACGTCCTTCGGCCCGCTTCGCTAAAGATGAAGGTAACATGTTAAAGTTCCTGACGTTTAATATATGTGAATTGTCCCTGTCGTTTTAGTCACATCCGGTTCTTTGATGCTACTAGCACAATAACATTGTTGGAGCCAAACTAAGCGAAGTGAGGAAGTAACTCGCTGGCACTAAACACAGCCGATAGTTTCTCTATGTAGGTCGGCTTGAGAATATTGTCGGCATGCAGATCATCTTGTGTCCAAAGAGCATGGAGCAATTTCTTGACAGAATGAAGTTCGCGATCAGGAAGAGTCTTTTCCGCGTTCGAAACCAGGTTCAAGATGCGAAGCCTTTCCTCGTCGGTACGTGCTTCACATCCGAATATGAGAAGCGGCAACGGTCTCTCACAGGTGCCCATCAAAGGAAGGAGCTGTAGTCCACGTTCGACCAACGCAGCTATGCCAGAATCCTCTCGCTCGCATTGGTCGGTAGTGCGACTCAGGTACACCAGAGTTGAAAGTCGATATACTTCAGACTTCGCGGCGATCCTCTCCGACTTCAGATCCGCGAGGCTGTACGATGCTGTGACCCGCAAGCTCTCGATTTCTGCTTTGAGTGTTCTGATTTTGCATTGATATTCCTGTGTGTGGGTCTCGGGATTGTCGGATGGCAAGATTTCCGCAACTACCTCGGAGAGAACACCCAACGGCTGAAAGAATCGCTTACTTTCCAACGATGCTTGGCCCATGATCATTGAAAGCTCAACACGGGCTTTTTTCCTCATCTCTGGCGAAGTAAATGGTCTTGTGTCGCATATTACCTGACTGGGTAGCAGCGCTTTGGGTTTCCTCCAATGGCGAAGGCTGAATCGAGCCAATATCTCATGATATGATACCCACTCTAGCAACATAGGAGCGTCTGAGAGCCTCCAGAACTTCTCAAGCGAGACACTTTCAATGAGTGTTCGTGAAGAACGTAGATAGCAGAGCCAGTGGTTTGTTGAGTGCGAGCTCTTTTGGGTCTGCAAGAATAGTGAGTGAGAATGACCCAGAATTCCTTATGCAGCATAAAAGAGTATATGATCTTCACAGAGCTTGTGTAAAGGTCTAGGATACAACAGACGAATATCATACCTCAAACATGCAAAGAACCATCCCAGTTGCTACATGCTGAACAGCCTTGTGGGCGGACATGCCTTCAGCAGCTGACAAAGACAGGGCACGCAAGGCCGATAGTTTCAGCTCCTCGGCACGAAATACCGGTCCATACCGATACTGTGCTGAAAAGGCAAGCAACGCATGCTGCAAGGCTTTACCAGCATGGGAGACTTCCGATAGGGCAATCCGAAGCAACGCTTCTCCCAGTGGTTGACTGCTGAAACTTGAAAGATTCGGTCTCAGAGTCTCTCGAACTGACAAAAAGTGAGCCACCGTCAGGCATGCCGCTCTCAGAGGGAGTTCTGAATTCTCGTACTTACAGAAACGGAAAAGGCTTTGATCGGTGGCATTTGACCCGGACGAGGACCATGGCAGTGGATACTTCATGATGGGACGTATCATGCGCCCAGCAATAAGGAAGTTGTGTACTTCGATGTCCCACGAGCTCGCGTTGATCATGTGTAATCGACCTGGAGTATTATTGGCCCGAGGGGATGTCGCGCTTCGGCTAATAAGTGACCTCTTGCCATCACTAGCCCTTGGCCACGACAATCGAAGTCCGTAGCCCTGACATTTGCGATTGGATTTGATGCAACTCGTACATCGTGGATATCGGCGGTCACAACTGACTTTGCGATCTGCTGAATCCGTCAATATCCAGAATACCCAATCAGATCATTCTGCATAGTCCAAGCGGACGTTGCAGGGAAGTGTGTCTTGATGGTCCTTTTTGGTGTTTAGAACCTATCGGGTCTAGCGTACCTATGCAAGTTCCACAACGCTTCTTCGACGATGTTACGGGGCCAGTTGCATTCCTTGATTTTGTCATGTTTGCCGCATCATCCAGAGAATGAGGTGATCCTGGATTGAGTGAGGGAAATATGTGCACAGGCTCATTCGCAAAAAGTTGCTTGCTGACTGGATTTTAGATAGATCATTCAAGGAGGATCAAGCTGACCACAGTTCGCTTTGATTTCTAAGCGGATGAGACGGCGTTGTCTCAGGGGTCAAAGATGCACGCCATCTTAGTGCAATTCCCCAGGGTAGACGCTAGGAAACTTCCGACTACGATTTCACTGGGCAACTTTTTGCGAAGGATGCTCAACCTAGCCTCTCACGCGGGGGTCAGAAGAGTTGGCCGCTTTTCTCAGGCTCGATGGTACAATAGCGGCCAATCCTTCTGACCACCGCGTGCCTCTGAAGAGTCTGGCCAATCAAAATTATATGGGGAACAGAAGCACCTAAGAGTGTGAGCATCTTTTTGCGAGACACAATGGCGGCAGTTCGCCTAGCGTCACTGTGCATGCGATTGCTTACTCATGCGATCTAGAATTCGATGATGATCAGAGAAATTCCCTCCACGTTTCGGGCGGGTGCGCACCTTTCATTACGAGATGTGCAGTAACTGTGGAAACCTTCGCCTTCACGACGGTCAGCAACTCCCAATGATGTGGCGCCGTGTTGGAGAAACACTCTGATAGCGCCCAGGGTTATGTGGAAAGCGTCCCTCTAACCTGCATAATCTCGTTGGAAGTTGCACTCGTTGAGGGCAAGGCCCAATCACATCACTCATTCCATGATAGAACTCGGGAGGGGCACGGAAACCAAACATACGAGATTGAAGAGGATACGTATGTATATAAACTGCCATGATGCCTCTATCCTTTAAACCTTTGGGCTCATCACATCAACCACACCCGCAGGTTCAGCATTCAACCTCAAAAGCTAGCAAAAGCAGTTTTTCTACCACGTTAGAACCTTGTCATACCTACCTTACTTAACGATGCCTTCCTACCTCATTACAGGAGTCAATCGCGGCATTGGCGTAAGTCAATCATTGAGCCTTTCTTGACTTCGGTGTTTGAAGAGATAAAACTGACTAGAATGACAGTGGGGATTTCTCAGGAAGTTATCTGAGGACGCAAATAATACCGTGATTGGCAGCGTTCGCGATAAAGCTGCTGTTGAGAAGAAGATTGCCGAGGAGCTCGGAGATTGTTCTAACATTCACATTGTAGAATTTGAGCTTGTGGACTACGAAAGCATCAAGGTTTGTAAATTCTACTTAGTACAAAACGCTGCATTCTTGATCTGATGTAACCCTCATAGAGATCGGTTCCGGAAGTCTCCAAGATCACCGGAGGCAAACTCGACTACATCATTGCCAACGCAGCATACGTCTCGCCTATCTCGACCTGGCTCCCTATTGGAAAGCAGTACGTCTTCCGAAAAGGCATGGTATAATTCCCAGTGATCAATCATCAACTGACATTGGACTTTTTTCAGAGCTGAAAAGCCGGAAGAGCTTGAAGAAGACCTGTTGAAGAGTTTCAAGATCAACGTCGTTGGCAATGTCCACCTATTTAGCCTCTTCTTGCCGTTGATACTCAAGGGAGATGTCAAGAAAGTTGTTGCCATCAGCTCCGGTATGGCCGATCATGAGATGGTCAACCAGTATCGCCTCGAAGTTAGCGCCCCTTACTCCATCAGCAAGACGGGGGTGAACATGGCCGTGAGCAAGTTCCACGCCCAGTATGCCCAAGACGGAATCCTTTTCATGAGCATCTGCCCCGGCATTGTGGACACTGGACACAACCAGAAGTGTAAGCCCCTCTGACCATGGTGAACTAAAACTCTTTTAGCCCCGAAACTAATCATCATTTGTTTTAGTGAGCGAAGTGCACCAGGAGTACTTCCTGAAGACTGGTGCCATTTTCAACGACTATGCGCCCGGTGTTGCGCTCGCTACTCCGGAGGACTCTGTCAGTGATGTTCTCAAGGTTATCTACAATTCCAGTCTTGAGAACGGCAGAGGTGGCGAGTTTATCTCTCACTTGGGCAACAAGAGATGGCTGGAGGCCGGCGCAGGAAGCGTTGCTCTTTGAAAGACACATGCGTTCATTATGCTGAACGGTCCAGAATTGGGACGTATAATTGTAGAATGTTTGCAGTCCGTCGGGTAGAGAGCCATCACTCGTTGCTTCCTAATACCGAAGATCTCCAATAATCGAGCCTTTACCAGTTCAGGACCTATTGAACAATTCTAGAATGGCAATCAGAGAGATGTGAAAAAGTAAAGCCATGGCCCGTGATTTATACTTGTGATTCTAGTGGAGATAATTGATTAGACGGGTACACCTTTGGGACTCGTAAACAGCTCAATTGTCAACACATGGCTACTCTTTGTGAGATTGAGTATTATTTTAGGCGACAATCACATCAGCTAGATGTCAATTCTCAGGGTAAAGCGCTGTCAATACAGTCCTTGCCATCGCGAGAATTCATTACACGTGCATGCAGGCTACTTGGCTTACTAAAACATTGAGGCACCTTACTGGATGAGTCTGCTTACCCACAATGATATAATCAAGAAAGGTAGCTTACGTCAACTGAGGGTGCAATCATTCTGTTTCTCTTGCAATTGCTGGCTTTACCTAAAACTACAGGGAAGACAAGCAATTCCTACTACAAATCCCACGAGGGGAACTGCCGATACTTCTCGTTCTTCGCTTCTATATGACACCGATGCCTTGATGTCTCAATACTGACAATCTGCTTTTTGATGCACACGGGTTCTATTGTGGTTATTATCACTGTACGTGATCCAGTGTCTCACGATGCTGACGACTTGCAATGTCCAAGTGCACATCTGCCGTCATCAAGACTCAAGCGGTAATATTAAGTATCTTGCGCTGCTTCCGACCCAATACCAGCCTTACCAGATCATACACGTTTTGCTTCAAGTGAAGATTGGTTGTACGACATCAACGAACTAAGGTAAGACGGTTCGATTGATCAGTACTGTTGTGTTCCAGGTCACAACCGAGACATAGGCTGCTCTGAATGTGGCCTGTGAACTCATGCTGCCATAAATAAAGCCAATGGGATAATTAGCATAAACAAGGCCATGTTCTTTAATTCGGTCGCTCAATTCCACAATCAAACTCAGAACCTACTTGCATCACGTTGGATCTATTCCCAGTCTTCTTTTGGCTAAGCACTAAGTCACAAGCAAAATCACTTGCCATCACTATGAAGCTCACTACCTTTGCCATCTTCTCTTTCACGGGTCAAGCTCTGTCAACTACTCTACTGGGTGCGCACTGCGATATTATTGGCCAGATCAGATGCGGATTTAATGGAGGACATATGATACGTTTCGAAGAGCATAGAAGGAGTTTTGTGGAAGCTTTGGTTGAACGCTTATGCTGACCCTTAACAACCTTCACGATGCATTGCGCTGCTGATCATACTTGGTCGTACGACTCAAACTACGCTGCGGCTGGTAAGCCTTGCCTTTGCGAGACGGGCATTTGCGCTGTAGATAGTGCCATCCTCCATTGAAGAGCATTCTCGCCGTCGAGCAATTCATGTTGTTTAAGAGCTGAGACCCAAGCGTCCTGGACCCTGACTTCAACTGTGGGGCCATCGTGGACCAGTCCCTTGATTTCCCCACAATGTTGCTTGGCTTCAGTGCTGCCAGCCCGCAGTCTTAGGCAGATCACCCGCCGTTATGAGATCATCTGAACCGAATGACTAATGACACATAAATGAGTAAAAAAGTCTGGATCGAAAGCGATGCCGCCCTTTTGGCAAGCCTCAGACCACTGGTAGGAACCGGTCTTGATGACCTGATCGCAGAGCGGCAATCGCGCTTGATTGACGCTTTGGGTCAGCGGCTAGGTCTAATTCGTCTATGTTATTCGTAGTTGTGAGTAAAACATTGTGCCAATAGATGAGGTGGTTAAGGGAAATTTAAGGTTTTTTTCCCGGCTTGTCAAAAAATCAACCTGCCAATCCGATTCCAGTTCCAACTCCAAAGAAACACACATACTTTATCATGCATTGCATCAAACATCTGGCATTTCGAATTCCCACAGCAAATACAACACGCCAAATCAGATTGGACTTGAAATTGGAGTCACGAAAGGCACCTATCTCATTGATATTTTATTGTGACGCGGGTCCAGCCAAAATCGTACCGCTGAACATGCCGCTGGCGAGAACAAGGCGGACCTTGGCGTCCCCGTGCGGGCCAAAAGTGGATTGAAAGACGTAACAAGAACTGCTGAATTTTCGCCCGCCGTCCCATTCTCTAGGCGGAGGTTCCAGATCCAGTAATGCCTTTTCTTTTCAATCGTGTCAGAAAATCTTGAGCCGAATGTCATTCACGCCTTGGTCGGGTCAGGTGGCGCGGAATGAAGCCGCGTGAGTCAGTTCAATGTTGCCGAATGTGAGAGGAACGGGAATGTCGTCTTCTTCAAACCATTCTTCCCTCGAACATATGCCGACGAGAACCGTTCCCGAACAACTCAGAATCCGGGGCCCCTCAAAGTTAACCGCTGCAGGAACAAGCCATTTCTCCACCGATCCGAGCTGCGTGTCCATGTTGGCCTGTTGATTTCCATCGTCTTTATTCGAACGCTCCACCGATCCTGACCGGTTCCACCTTCTCCGCGGTTCAGCGAGTCGAATTGTGAGTGAATCGCGATTGAGGCCAGGATTGCCCACCACTCGGCTCCTACCTACCGAGTCTTACCCTAGATTGCGCAATTCAGAAATCATGGGGAACGAGGCTGAAGCAATGAGGGCGCCTGTCGATCCTGAGCGTCAGGATTTGCCCAACCATCCACCAGGGTCAAAAGGCCATGAGCAAGATCCCAATGCGCCGCCACCTGCGTTTCCGACAGGCTCGGGCGGCATCATCGAGAAGGAAGAAGGCGAATTGATCAACTTCAAGACGTTACACTGGCTGTAGGCTTCTTCCACAGCAAGGTTTACCTAGAGATATGCTGACGTTGGTACAGGCAAGGAGGCATCGTACTCGTCGCAGAGACAGTCTCTCTAGGAATTCTATCGCTTCCGTCCGTCCTTGCAACTGTCGGACTGGTTCCCGGAGTCATTCTCATCTGCGTAATCAGCGCTCTTGCGACCTACTCTGGTCTTCTTCTTGCCGACTTCCGGAAACAATACCCCTTCGTCCAGCACTTCGGCGATGCGGTCGAGCTAATTGGTAGGCCCATTGGTATGGGTGGCATCTTCCGAGAGGTCTTCGGATGGGCCCAGACTATTCTGCAAGTTTTTCTCATGGGAGGTCACATTCTCATGTGGACGATTTGCATGAATACCCTCACAAACAGCACAACATGTACCGTGGTCTGGGCTGCTGTTGGAATGCTGGTTTTCTGGGTCTTCAACGTTCCTAGGACTTTGAAGTGGACGAGCTGGATGTCAGCAACTTGTAAGTCATAGAGCGGCTCTTGTTTGCTATGAATGACTGCTTACTTTCGCAAGCCTGTGTGTCCATCGTGGTGGCTGTTCTGATCACCGTCATCGACGTTGCCATTGAGAAGCCGATTGGAAGTGGGTCGATTGACGTCTTCAAGTCTCTCGGCTTTTCTCCCGCTTTTCTGGCCGTCACCAACATTGCAGGTGCATTCTGTAAGTAATCCACACATTCACGAGATCGGACACCACATGGAACTTCTACTTATAAAATCCCCTTCTAGCAAGCCATTCGATCTTTTTCAGCGTCATCGCCGAATTCAAGAATCCCGACGACTGGCCAAAGGCACTTGCCTTCCTACAGATCACGGATACAACCCTCTACATCATTGCTGCCGTCATCATCTACGTTTACGTGGGTCCCGATGTTCCCTCGCCGGCTTTGTCTGCAGCGGGTAGCGCGACTATCAGGAAAGCGATTTGGGGTGTTGCGATTCCCACGATTGCTATTGCCGCCGTCATTTATGCCCATGTCGCATCTCAGTACGTGTTTACGCGTATCTTTGGCAACACCAAGCATGTAGTGAGAAGAACCCGAGTATCGACAATCTCTTGGCTTCTCATTACCCTTGGTATCTGGGGGATTGGCATGGTGATTTCCGAATCCATCCCCGTCTTCAACAACTTGTTGGGGCTGGTCTCTGCTGCCTTTGCTAGCTGGTTCTCGTTTGGACTGCCGGGAATTTTCTGGCTCTGGATGCACAAGGGCGACTGGTTCTCAACCTGGCAACAGAAGTGCCGGTTTGCGGGGTCTTCGCTACTCTTGCTTGTGGGCATTCTGCTTTGTGTACTTGGATTATGGGTCTCTATTGAGTCCATCGCGAAGGGTGGATCTTCCGCGAAACCTTGGACATGCGCTAGCAACGCTGCAGAGTGAGGCGCCATCTAAGCTGGGGACATCGACACAAGTAGTCGGGTCCTGTGTATTACCATAATGCGACATCTCTATCATTGATCTCACGCAACAATCTACTGTTGAATCACAACTAAATTCACGACTGTATATTTTGAAACTAAGGCCATGGTTCGTACGTGCCTTATCTGGTGACTGCACGGTGGTCGATTGTCTTAGACTGCCTCAGAAGTGTACTCATTCGGGGCTTTGTTGTTACTCTAGTCGCACGAGCAACGGGCAATACAGTAGTACAATATTGCTTCAGCAGAAAGTCTGCGGTACGCACGTTGCAACAGGAATAGGCGGGGAACAAGGTCTCCCGCTCTCGGACCAGGGGTGTCTGCCACCCACGCACCCTAGCACGCTTGGGTAATTCTATTACAAGCATCACAAGCCGTGTCTAGGTTATGATCAACAGTATGTTCCCTTTTTCGAATCCAGCTTCCTGCCAAGTCGCCTTGTTGCATGCAGTCATCATGTCCATATATCTATTCTAAACCTCTTGTCGCAGGCCTTGCAGCACCCTGGATACAGTTATACACTTGATGTTTATCTCGCTGTACCGAGACAATGTCCACAACCCTTGCAGCAGGGCATCTTAAATCGTTTGAAATTCTTGTTGGTATCTATGTGACAGACTACACATTATTTGCAAGAACAAGCCCCTCCTGTTAAAATAAATCATGACTTCATCGAGGTGCGCGCGTGTATGGGCAGCCCCGTATAAACAAGAAGTTCGGTCACATATGTGCAGAGTTCCACCCCCAGCGGCCCCCTAGCGGCTATTTTTGTTGTCCCTTCAAAATTGCACAAGGCAAATTTACAGAACGAGAGCGAAGATGGCGGCAGCCAGGCCGGCACCAGAGAAGGTCATCAGGGCAGCGCCGGCGGTGACAACGGTGGTGGCGGTGGGAGAAGCACCGCGGGTGCCGTTGGTGTGAACAGTAACGGAGGCGGTGGCAGTAGCGGCGGTGACGGCCTTGGTGGCGGTTCCGACACCCTTGTTGTCGTTGCCAGCGCCGGAGGAGGTGCCGGAAGAACCGGAGGAACCGGAAGAGCCCTTGCCGCCGGTAGCACAGGTGCTGAGCTTGTCCTGCATCTCTTGGAAGATACCATCGAAGTGAGTGATCTCATCGCCACCCTTGCCACCGGCAGGGAACTTGGTGGAGATTGAAGTCATCAAAGTGTGGACGTTTCCGCCTAGAAGATGTTAGCGTTGTATTGTTGAAAACATGTGCTATGAGTGTCACTTACCAATCTGAGCAACCCAGGAAAGAGTGCTGTCGCAGATACCAGCCTGAGCGAACGAAGGAACCTTGTCGCTAAGGTCAACGAGAAGCTTGTCGCCAGCGGCATTGAGCTCGTCGGAGAGGGGCTGGAAGGCGATGGCCTCGTCCATGGTCAGAGCCAACATGGCAACCGCGTTGTAAGTGGCGGTGCGGATGGTGGTGAGCATGGTGGAAGAGGCATCCTCGAGATCCTTGCCATCGCCGCCAGCGTAGGCGCAGATAGAGCCATCGAGGCTCTGAATGCCGTTGAGGACGGTGGTCATGATGGTGTTGACCTGGCTGAGCTCACGCGCGCAAAGCTCGGGGGTAGGGGTCGCAATGACGCCAGCGGCGAGGAAGACGATGGGAGTGGTGAACTTCATTTTGATGGTTGTTTGAATGAGAGTGATCAAAGAGTGACTGGTAGCGAGTGATGTTGGAGAGGACGGAGAAGCTGGCTTTTGAAGGCGGGTGGCTGTTTTGATGCTGTTGACTGATGATCTAGACATGGGAGATCGACAGTCCATGTGCAGTGTTTATATATCCAAGCCATCTTGGCCATCTCAGAGTTGTAGATCGCTCTGACTTTCTTCTCAACCCCCTGAGTTACCCCAGATAATCTTAGGCGCAAGGTACAATCTCACGTGTGTGAGATAATGGCGATGGCGGCTAAGATTTCTCAAACAACGCCGGCGCCATTGCTATTTTTTCCGATTGCCTTCCTTTCCCTCCCTCTAGCCTTGTGCTCGGACAAGCATAGGATCTGACCACGATCGACTTTTGGTGCGCGGCAAATGAGCAGCGGCGGGTGGTGAGGGCGCCACCACGCACGCTAGATCAAGCCGTTTCTTTTTATGCGGACATGGCGCGAACTTAGGGGGATTAATCAGGAACGCGCCACATCCTGTGCACCCCCAACCGAATCATTTTTCGAGAAATTGGAGGGGACGTTTCTTTCTAAGCACTAGTCTACATGCATGTCTAGTGATAATAAGCTCTTCTGCGCAGGCTTCCACGTCGAGTTGCTCGCGAACGAACACAGGCGTTGAGACTGACCGCGTGCGGCTTGGCAGCTGTCTCGCCGAACGGCTCAGAAGGATTACAATGGCTGATTCAGACAGGCTTTCAGCTGGCGCAAAGACCTGATGGGTTGACCTTAATCAGCATGCCACTGATCAGAGTGCTTGGCTTCACGTTGTTCTAGACCTTGCCTCGAGGCTCGCTCAGACTGTCATGGTCGTCCTCGCTGCAATCATGGCAAACAACCTCAAACACACTCAGAATAAGCGCGTTGTAGTAGCTTCCATTTCAACTTCGGCCCATTCTGGAAACTTCATTGCGGAAGAGCTGTGCACACCTTCGTTGCCCTGCTCGTGACTCAATTAGTGCAATTGTGCACAGAACTTCAGCCGCTCCCGCAAATCAACCACTTCATTGTTTCCAAACAAGAGACCGTAGGGCCGGCATATGAGGGGTCGGTTGTGAAGAATAGTATCATGGCGCTGCCTTGCGGCTGAGGTTGGTTTCGGTGTTTCCCGCTGTGGCTAACCACCCGCTTTTGCAACGTGCAGATGGAGTTGAAAAGCTGGAGGCTTGAAAAGCTTTTGGCACGGACAAAATTTGAGGGCTGTTAGCGTATTGGCCGTCCGAAGAAGCGAATTCAGCCTCGTGAAACTGAACTCACGGATCATTCCTTCTGCATTCTGTCAGCTCGACTCGGACAAGCAGCTCGTCCGGCAGATGTGTCTGGTGTCCACAGCCTAAGCTTTGTGCTCGAGCCCATCGTAGACCACGGCGAGACCCCCTCTGAACATGTAATCTCGGAGACAAAAACAGTGTTCCGCCAAGTAGAGGCAGTAGATCATTCTAAGTGCAACATGGTCCTCATATTTTCTTATCTCCTTTGTTCCAGCCAGGCTGCTACCACCTCCCAAGACCATGCAGGTCTCGGTGTACAACATAAGTCAGAGGAAGTGCCGTGGATATTTGCAAACAGAGACTATTACAGTTCCTGGAAGATCTCCACGTCTTTCTTAGTGTTGCCGCGATTTGATGCTATCAGCTTCTCAGTTATTAGGATGTTCAACGACCACGCACGTTCGATTCAAAGTTTTCTTGTCTTCTCGGAAAATGCAAGTCATTTCTACTTACCTCAGGTAAGACTTTGCTCAAAGATGACGGATAAAGTCATTTGGCCTAGACTATGTTCTCGATTTCGGCAGAGTACTGTATGCACTGTGCAGCACATCACCATTGATAAGTGAAGCTCGGCAGTAGGTGAGGTATAGGAACTGGCGCTGAACGGCACACAGAGACAGAGAGAAGCAGCGATGCAACAAAAATCACATGTGTCTTCAGATACCTCAGGTAACGGCCCAAATGTTGGCTCGCACCAGATACAGTAGCTCAGGTTATCCTGCGAGGTCAGTCTCGGCGATCCGGGATGAATGCCGTTGTCTATTGCTAGTACTCAGAAAATTGAAGAGACGTTGATCATACACGCGACTTCCTTGCTGGAAATTTCTTTATCACACCCTGGCTCAGCGACATAGAGCTTGGGCATTCATTCGAGCAGTTTTTGGGTCACTGGAAAACGTGAAGACACTAGCACTGTTCTGGGACTTCTACACATGGAATGGTGAAAGCTTCCTGCCATTTCTTGATGATGCATTGATGATACATCAGATCTCTGTGTGTTGACCACAGTACATCTCTACGTACTTACCTCAGTTAGAGCTGGAATTTGCCATTCTCAGCTTTAATTGAACTTAGAACAGAGAATAGTAATCCCGAATGGTACATCCGAGGGATGCGTGGAGTTTCGAAAGGCCATTTGAGGGGCTAGCAATAAGTTGCGACGAATGTGACCCTAGTCGTCTGATGTATAGCCAAATGTACCCCATCGCGGGGTATAGAGTGAGAAAACGGCCGAGAAAACCTTTGATCGTGTTTACCAATCCGTCTCGGCTGGTACCTTACTACCAGTCTCAATTCTTCCATATATCCATGTGAGAAAGTAATGGTTGTGGAACTACAAAAGAAACCCAACCGGTCTGAATACCTGAGGTATCCCCTGTGTCTAAGCTCATGTTTCGAAGACAGCTTCAGCTTCCTACGTTCAAAGTCTTACATCTTCCAACTTGTACAAACATCTTCCCAAGACCCCAAACATATCGACTACCAAACTCTACAGATTCGTCAAAGACTCACCAACTATGTCTCAAGCAGTCTATCAGGTAATAGTAACCGCTGACGAGGACAAAACCACAGCCTCGAAGCGACATGCTATCTACCTCCGTCCATTTCTCCTCTTCTGGCTCAATTCCCTTGTCTTCGAAGTTGCAATGCTCATAGTAAGCATTGCTGCCTTCTCAGGATGGCGTAGTATGTTCCCTAAGTTCATGTGGACCGTCGTACTTTGCCCTCTGGGCATGGGAGGCGCCATGGGAGGCCTCATCAACGCCTTCATTGTCGATCGCATCTACGCGAGGCGAGCAGTCCATTTCGTCGCAATTCTGAGCGTCTTGATTCTGGGGGCGTGCAACAACCTCTGTTATAACTTGGATCTCGTATTCGGATGGTTCGGTGCGCAAGACCATTTCTGGTGGTGGCACTGGCGGTACCTGGGGGTTTGGTTTGTTGGGTACTTCAATGGTAGGATGATGTTCACGGATGAAGGGCAAAAGTCACTTGCTGATTTTGGTATTTGAAACTCCAATGAAGTTGAGAAATCAAGTGTTATTTATGTTGTATCTTCCTTATGAATAATCTACGACAGGTGTTGTCTTTCCAACACCCTAAACTATTAATGTAGTGGATTAACATCCATCGATAACAAGATTAAAACATTTGATCGAACATTTTGATCGCTTCTCAAAATTTGCTTGAGCTTGACTTGTGATATAGAGAAGTCGACTATTATAAAATAATATAACGTATATAATAAGCGAGTGAAATAGATAAGCGAGTGAAACATAGAACCGCAACTATATTACATAAATTAATAAATCTTAATACTTACTTTATTAATTTAATAAAACTATTTAAAGTCCTCTTCCTTAAACATTTCTTTATTAAATTAATATATTTACGTATTATAACTAATATTCCTATAGACGCTATATCGTCGTTAGCCCGTCTTAATCCTCGGTCAGTAATTACTACTCCGGCGCGTTTCCTCCTCTACTTAGGCTATAGCCTCTCTCTATAACTAAAAGTCCTTTCCTTTAATTATAATAAAACTTCCTCTTTATTAAAGACGGTTTTTTTTAACTCTTTAGCGTTAACTAAATAAATTATTCTCTTCTTAAAAGATCTAGTTCTCGGATTTTAATAAAGCGATTTAATATATAAACCTACGAGCCCCTTTAAATAGATACTCTATAGTTTTAATAATTAAAGTTAAAGAGCTATTTTAATAACAGGCGATTTTATTTTTAATAAATTATAATTATAAAGACGCCTCGGTTAAGTTATTTAGTATTTAAAAAGTCTATACCGGGGGTATTATTAAAAAAGATCTTAGAGGCGTCGGAGTATATAACTTTATATTAAACTTTAAAAATATACTCTCTATATTTAAAAGCATAAGTCCTACCCCTCTAAATCCTCTCTAAATATTTTTCTTTATAATCGTTTACGTAAAAGCCCTATAAAACGCTAAAAAGAAGTCCTTTTTAATAATATACGTATTACCCCGACGTATTTTATCCTCGATTTCTTAACTATACGCCTTTTTTAGAGGCTTAAAATATTTAATATTTAAAGGCTAGAATAGATAAAATAAATAAGCCGGTATATATAGGGTAATAATATTATTCTCTTTATAAAAAAGCTTAAAATCCGTAGAGTAATAATTTTTATATCCGTCGATAATAAAAAGGTAATATTAACCCTTTTTATATAGTCTTATATACTATTTAAAGTACTAAGCCTAATCTAGGCCTCTTTTATTTATTATCTATCTATTTTTAAACGTTATAATAACCTAATTATATAGAAGACTAGATTCTATATACTAAATAGAGAGGTAATATTAACCCGTAACGATAATATATAACGGGACGCTATAACCTAATAAACTAATAGCCTAAATAACTATAACCTATTTACAATTACTAAACTATATTAATTTTATATTTAAACGCCTTTTAATATTAATTATAATTATACTAGTTAAGATCTAGTTTATTATAAAGCTAGTCTCGTTAAAGTTATAAATATCTAAGTTTATAATACCGTATTTCGTAATTATATTCGCTATAAGCGAGAACTACGCGTTTATTATAATTAGATCTTTATATTAGGCCCTTTTATAATCGTATTTATAAAAACGACGCGTTTATAACTATAGCTATTATTTAATAAAGTTCGAAGCCTATCGCTTCTTAATAGGGAGCGCGTTGCGGTTAATAAATAATTAATTTACTATTTCTTTAATATTATAAAACCGGGAAAAAAATAATTAGGAATCTAGGTTAAGGATATATTTAACTAGCTTCTCTTTTTTAAAAACCGTTAAATTACGCGAGTTCGGTATAATATTACGTTATAATAATATTCCCTTTAGTTATTAAATTAGCGTAATATAGTTAACTAAATAGATCTTAGCTATAGCCCGAGCGCTTAGTTTTAAATAACTTTAAATAGCTTAGAGGGTAAGCTAAGTATTAAATTCTTTATTTTAGCGCGTTATAGTAAATTATAAAAAAAAAGCGCCCGATTATATTAAAGTAATGTAATCGCGGTTCTATATTTCACTCGCTTATCTATTTCACTCGCTTATTATATACGTTACGTAAAAGGGATATTTAGAAATATACTTGGTCTATAAAAGAGTAAACGTTCATATCATTCTATCGATGAGATACGATGTCTACTAGGATTAAAGTCCAAGATACAACATTTGAACTAGAGAGTCGCCACTCAAGTTCAATGATAATGGGAAGTTTATTCCGATCCATACTTTGGTATTTTTCGTTTGAAAACCGAAAGACAATTTATCACTCATTCTGGGTCAGATCATAGTGCCTTCTGGTTCAACCTTTCATAATACTGAACATTAATCATTAATTCTATCACGCCATAAATCTCGCAATATGGGGAGAGCTACCACACCGGCAACTAACGTACAGTCCCCGAAGAAAATAGGATATTAACATCAAATCATCACCACATGCAGCACATGCGATCAACACAGAGCCGCTATTTCAAGCACTCAGAGCCTGGTGATACTGTCGGTGCAATCGGCCAGGTTGTTCTTATCGTTGCCAAACAACGCCATTTTTTCCATGCTACTCCGCGTCAGTAATCGAGCGTATGTACAACTTCATCATAGAGTAACTCACGCATTGGTGAAGCTGCTGCTCCACTTATTCTGCTGTCCGATGAAGCCCTGGAACTTCTTTCCGATGTCACCAGAGGTAGAGGTGGAGATCTTGGAGTCCGATGGAAACACAAAGACGCCCGGTGCAGCAGTGCCCTTAGTCGCGAAGTCGTATGTCTCCTTGTAGTAGCTGACGTCCCATTTTCCAGGCCTAGTAGTGAATGATCAGCATTGGTGTAGCGAAGTTGAATTTATTGCCATGGTTAGGTCACTTACGTTGAGTCCTGGGATGCGTTGGCCTTGGTCGTATCAACAAAGTTCTGCGTCGAGGTGCTGTGAGCCCCTAGGAGCGCGGCAAGAGCTTCGGCGTCAAGGCCCTTCTTCTGGAAAAGTGCCACAAGGACGTCGGCGGGAGCAAACACGTCGGGCAAGCCACCATCCTTGGCGGAAGTGGTGCTGTCAGCACGGCCGATGAAGGTCTTGACCTTGGGTCCACCAGGGCAGAGGAAGATTGCTGCGTCTGAGGCGTGCTCGGTCAGCAAAAATGATACGAACGTGGTTTTCCATTATATGACTTACTTCCAGCAAAAACAATCATGTCCGCAACAGTAGTGTTGTACTTGGTGGCAAGATCCTTAAGGACACCGGCAATCTTCTGCAGTCCCCTGTTCTCACTCCTGTTAAGCTCGACATCAGGGTTGACGCCGACAATCAGGGAGCCGTCGCAGCCGCCGTTGAGTCCTTGGGAAGTGTCCCAGGAGCCACAGTCGTGGAAAATAGCGCGAATGGACGCGCGAGCGAGATCATTGCACTGAGGACCACTCATGAAGAGAGAGTTGAGCTCAGTGTTGACTTGCTTCCAGACCGCTGGACACTTGGCTCCGCCGCGAGCGTCAAGGTCCTTCGCGACGACGGCAGCAGAAGAGGCATCTTCAGCGTGGGGGAGGACTGCAGCGTTGGCGACTGCCAAGAGGCCAGCAAGAAGGAGGCTGGAAGCGTGCATTTTGAAAGAAAGATGGGTTGATGATGCGGTCGGCGGGAAGGAAGACGTGCAGTGTCTTGGCAGTGGTTGCTGTGGAAGGTGTCTGAGAGAGGATGCCAAGAAGTTAAGATTTTGGATGTGAATACATTGTCTTTATAGATGTGAAGGACAACTCAAAATCCCTGCTCTGTTCAAACATTCCCAGTTTCTCACATGGACTTCCAATCCGATCTAGACGCATCAGAAAGTCCGGAGGCAAGGTCAAGCCATCATGTCGGCGCCGGTGGTATGGTTACCCCATGGGCAAGCCGAAGGCACTTGGACTGTCATCACCGCTGACATGCCTCTTAGCCAGGCTTCGTTGTACTACAAAGTGTTGTATGTCGGGCGTTGCCGACAGCCTGGGAAGCTTACGGAATCCGAAGTCTCTAGCGTCTAACGGCATGCGAAACGGACACTGTATTCTCGGTGACGGCTGAGCAGGTCCGGCAGAGCTAAGGCTGTTAGCGCGCTTACACATTGACGCCAAAGTGACCCTCGAACCAATGAGAGAGACACCATTTCCAAAAGGAAAGTAGTTTGAAGGTAAAGAGAGCCGCATGGACATGGACAAAGAAGCACAAAGGGGGAAAGGGTTCGATCGTGAAACACAGAAACAGAGCGCGTCCAGTGCCATGGGTCTTGAGGCCTTTCATTCTCTATGAAATTCATCCAGGCCGTACTGCAAATACGATGTCTGTTCGCCGTATACGCCAGTAGAAGAATCCACGTGCAACAAGTGGTTGCGTGAGCAAAACGCGATCCAGCTGCAGCCGAGTCTTGACCAGACCACCGGGTCCATCATAGATTTTGACGCTTAATTATCAAGATTCAACGGCTCCGTGTAGCGCTGATGTCAATCAGTAAATGAAGTTCAGTCGGTGATTATGTCAACAGCCTTCGGCCAAAGCCTATCCTTATAGTCTGCCCTTCAGGCCAGCCACACGGCGTCCACCACCGACTTTCATATGAGGACCCAAGCTACTCATGTGAAAAGAGCTGAAGTCTCCCATACTGATCATCTAGAGGTAAGCTGACATGCGCATTTGTAGTCTGACCTTTGCGGTCAGTATGTCGGGTAAGGCAGGGTCTAATACGGCGCCTTAGCCATGTACCTAATTTGCGGGCCAGACATTGACCTGCGTAACATATAGCTCGACCGGAGGGGGGTTCCAGAACCCTTTACCCCAGTTGCATGCGCACTGATGCCACAGAGGCCCAATGTCTGGCACCAAACTGCAGGCTTTGGCCAGTCTATTCATGATCCGAAAGACGTCTCTGGAGGTGCAGACTGGGCACGGGCGCTACGCACCATTTCTCGGCCGATGTCTGCAGCGTCATGCAGTTTCGAGCCCCCGTGATTGGCTGCTTTCGTCCGAAGCCGTGGTCTGGACCCCCATTGCACTGCATATCACCTCAACCTCCTTCCATGCATGGCCAAAGCGTGGAGTATCTAGGCGTTCCGGAGAAGCCACGAAGTACCAGCCACGCGGGTTCCAACTAATCTTTTGCAATGTAATGAGGTAAGAACTGGAGTAGGGATGAGGTTGCTAAAGTCTGGCAGTAATCATCCTTAGGACTCAGGATGCTTACAGCTCGCAGTAGATTGTAAGACTAAGAGGCCATGGCTGAAGCAACGTGATAAGATGGGGAACAGCTCGGATTACATTAATTTCGACAGTGTGAACAGCACCACTACTGCTTCATGCCCATATATGAAGACATACCTCTATCCATTGATGGTGAGTGCACTTGAGAAGCAGATGATTTCCTTGGCTTTGCTATGTCGCTCAGCGTCAAGAGCGGGGACTTGCATCCGTCCTGAACTTGAAATGTAGCTGGCAAATGCATACAGGGAACGTTGCTGGGTCATTGCTCCCCTGAACTTCCCTGATATGGCAATGTTTCGACCTCGCGATGGATAGAGAAGGCGAATCTTAGAATGAATTCCACAGAGCGATTGTTTCATCCTTTGTCAAGGGGGTCTGGGATAGCTCGTTTACACTGCCCACGAGCGAAATCAAAAAATGGATCACAGCAGGCTTATCAAAGCTGCAAAGGAAGAAAGATACGTTCAGGGTCTCATTTTAAGGAACGCTAATACAAAAAAAGATGTAGACCAATTGAGATCAGAATGATTCAATATGCGCATGGAGGTTTCGCAGTCCCTTTCAAGGCCTCCTTAATACTTGACAGCTTCCGGCACTAAACGTCCCCAAAAATGTATGCGCATCAACGGAAACGAACCAGCTCAGATACCTTATTGTCGCCGCTTTATTCCTTAATATTGGCCCTCTGCTCTTCTTTTCTTTCTTCTCTGGAATGAAGCCTTTCGAGCCGCCCTACTCCGACACCAGTGAAATACAACCTGCTATCATTGCATTGATATCAGATATAGTAATCAAGTTTGAAAACTGTTCGCTGAACAGGCTGTTAGAATGGTTTGCATTGGATATTCCTCTTATATCTTGTTCAGTGTGACGCAATTGCCTGCGCGTGTGCGCAATTGCTTTGTGGTGAAAGAGGGTAGGTGGAAGGCCGGGGCAAGCCAGGTAAAAGGAAAAGGTGGACGGAGTTTGCTGTGACGAAAACATCACATGGATCACTGCTTTAATGAGAAAACAAATTCGGGGTTCAATCAAAGGGATTGGTGAGTCTTTTTCTTACATACAGCCGAAAGAAAATCAACGACACTGTTCTTTCATTGGAGTCTTGGTGTTCGGAAGAGATGGAAATCTCCAGACAAAGGACACTCTAGCAAACAGTCCTGTTACTATATACGAAGCAACCACCTACCCATTAAGGTCGCACCAGAGTCACAGCATAGGCTCACTTCAACAGCTTCTGCTTCTGCCTCCTATAACTATCTGTATATACTCAGGAAGTCGTGCTGTCTCCTTACTTGATTCTAGGATCATTGTCAAACGCCCGCCATCATCCTCCCTGCCTAGCAGCCAGCTCCGTCATCGACATAACTGCTTTTTGCTTTTGCCCCATCTCTTCTCAAACACCAACATGGACCCAGAACAGTACACCCCAGAAGATGGCCCTTTTGTTACAGTTGTGAGTGGCCCGGACTTTACACTCGGAATGACACGGAATTTAACACTTCTAGCTCGATACGAAATTCGGAACACTGTACTACAAGATTAGCGCAGACAATCCTAGAGACAGTCCCAGTACTCCCCAAGTTGTGGAACTAGCCGTGGCAATAATGGAACAACGCCTCACCAATTTCCCTCTCAGGCCGAATGGCTTCAACGTGGACCCCGATACTGAATTGAAGGTGAGGTTTGGCAATGTCATTGAGCAGGTCGGAGACAAAATTCCCAGGGAGAAACTCTTCGTGACGGTTAAAGTCCAAGATCCGAAGAAGGAAATCTCGAGTTTCTTGCCTGACACCTTGTCCTTGATGAAATTGAAAAGCGTGGACCTGTGAGAAGTCCCCCTCCTCTCTTCAAATCAACATGTTTGATAGCCAATTCTTCTGCCCTATGCTAATATCAATGTCAGTATTGTTCTGTATGATGAGAAGAATCTCGGTGCAGATACGTTCAAAAAAGCGTGGGAGGAGTTAAAGGCGGTAAATCAGAAAGATGGAGAAAAAAGATCCCGGTTCCTTGGGGTCAATCCCCAGGATAGGGGAACTTTCGTACAAGTAGAGGACTCCCAAACTCCAGCCATCAATCACCAACAAGCTTGGGCGGATCTTGGCCTGAAACCCTGGATGCAGGAACGTGGATACGCAGATTCATCCTTCGTGCGTCTTGCGGACATCCCCAAAAAAGCAATCATAGTTCGAGGTGGGAAAGGTCCATTGAATTTGGAAGGAATACCATTCATTGACGTTCTTCATTCGAGTACTGGGGCACTGGCATTTGAAATTCTTCGCTCCTGGGGTATCTATCACGAGAAGAGCCGTCAGAAATATCTAATGCTGAGTCCCGCAAAGCTCAAGCTGGCGGAAAGAGAATCTCAATCGTTGGCTGGACAGAAGAAAAAAGAAAAGAAAGAACTGATAGTTGAATTGTCGGCTGAACAATACGAGGAAATTGCGAAAGTACTAAATGAATACTTCAGAAGGACGCCAATGAATGCCAACATGTAGGGTAGGTTTCGACCAACGATCTCCGTTGAAGATCTGACTCGTCAATACTCAGTGTTAGAGCAAAAAGATCTACTCAACTTCTTTCTGAGTTACAAGTTGGTTTACTAAAGTTATTTATCCTTAACAAAAGTCTGACGTAGCATCTGTTGTCTCGCGGCTTAGGTAGTAATGGAAAATATTACTTTGACCATCTCGTAAACTTCTCAAGTTTCTATGGTTTTCCACCATTGCTTTTTGTTCCACGGACGATATGAACACTAGCTCGATTGAAGACATGAAGGGGCACATGAAGTTGAGAAAGACTCTCCATGTGGGCATACAATTTGAACAATCATTGAGAACTCGACTTGTGATGGCGCGCAGGAGCTGAGAAGACTACTTGAAACCAGCCGGTCGAGACAAAATTTCCCATTTTTATAATTCACCAATGTCACTCGCTGTCTCAGCATGGTCTTCTGCGATATTTGCGCAACGGTACTTTGGAAACGCCAATCCTTTGTGGGAACGAATGGCCTGTTGACGCATCAAGCATTGGGCTCAACACAGCTGCGGATGCAATCTGTAATTTTCTCATTAATTCCCCCTCAGAACTTCACTGTTCGTGGGAGACTTGTTCTTGATTCAAACTTTCTTTTCCTCTAAAGCTTCTTAATCAATTTAGTAGTGTCTCCAATGCTTGGCTGCCGAGCCGCAAGACACTGGCTAGTCTAGATGTGGCTATTACTCATTCATGCAGATACCACTTTGGATGAAAGCAAACCGAATGGATTCTTTTGAAGGCATGGTTTCAGTTGGCCTATTCAGATTCAACTTGGCTTGCGGAGAAAAAGACGCGAGAGGTCAACAAGCTTCGTGCAATGTTCCCTCACCGGACAAAATTATTGGAAAGTTTGATCAGTGAACGAGGTACCACTCGTACACAGGGCTTCATGTGCTTGGAGCCTATGCCCGATGGTGCTCTTCCCCATCTGAACTTCATATATGACATGGGAGAGGATGTAGTGCAGGAGGGAGAGAATTTTAATCAAGAGATGAACAATTAAGGGATGAACGATGAAGAGATGAATGATGAAGAGATGACAGATGACGGTTGAGAAAGTACCTCCTTATCCTGGGAGGATGGGAGTATTGCCAAAGGTATCCGTCCTACCAATTGATCATAATAAGATATTGTTTTTCATGAAGGTTTACTCACTATTTCTTGAGACCAACTACTTTGACGCCTGGGTGAAGACGTACACATCAAATAGTCATCACGTTAAGCTGACTACTTACCTCAACT